TTTTCATACATTTGTACAAGAAAGAAGAAAATTTGAGTAAGAAAAAAATTCTTTATTTATTGAAAATTAATTATCAAAATAAAATTTTAGATTATAAGGATTTAATCAATCAGATCTTTTTATTTCTGTTTAACAACTTCAAGTATATTTTTATTGTTATAGATGAATAATGTATTATTTTAAAATCTATTTTAGATGTTTATTAATGAATATACTGAAATTTCGTACGTGAATATTTTTATGGTTCAACATCCATCTCATACACTTTTACAACAAAATGGTTTTACTCAACAAGTTTATCTTAAATATAAACAAGAATGTCTTGATGGTAAAAAAGAAACATTGATTGTAGAGAAAAAAAAAGATTATTAGTTCAGTACATATTTACAATATTTCAAGAGAAACAAGCTACTGGTAAAAAAAAGATTGAAATTATGTTGCATTGAACGTAAAGAAAACGAGTCTTTTAATGAATAAAGAACAGTTAGCATATCTAAAAACAACAGTGAAAACTACTCTCCAGTAAAAATCAGAGTCTAAAAAGACTTATATTCTTATTTAAATAGCTAATAGAGAATATGTCTGTTGCTATAATTTTCAAAAAGAAAACAAAGATTTTACTCTTTTATGGAGTTTTTTTAATAAATACTATCATTCTTATCTACATGATAAATTTGAAAAGCAATAAAATAATTGTCAACGATTAAAAACACTAAGTTTCATTAATCGCCAAACTTTATTATTTCTAGGGATGTACCGAGACCGAGACTGAACCGAGACTCTCGGTCCGAGCCGTCTCGGTCTCGGTTAGTCTCGGTCTCGGTCAGTCTCGGCTAGTCTCGGTCTCGGTCAGTCTCGGTCTCGGCTAGTCTCGGTCTCGTCCAGTCTCGGTCTCGGTAGTCTCGGACGAGACTCTCGGTCTCGGTTATGGTTCTGATTATAAATGTACCGAGAGTAAATATTCATTGACATAGATGAGAATTTTTCATTTTCAAATATGCCCAGGATTCCACAAGACGTTTCTTGCTAATTGATTCGTTTGCTTTCATCTAGCTTTGTATACATAGGGACAGGCGGATCACGAAAGGAAAAGACTACACCTTATTTAGATTCGATGAAAATTTTTGAAGTTTTCGAGTGGAATGGACTTAAATTTGCTCTTTTTCTTTCATGATCGAGCTGCCCCTAGTACGCACAGCTAGATGAAATTAAGGTGATCAATTAGCAACAAATGTCTTGCAGAGTCTTGGCGGTTTTTGAAAACGAAAAATCTTTATCTGTATCAATGAAATTTCAATCTCAGTACATTTCATGGTCTCGTTAAATTTTGATCTTCACCTTATAACCTTATTAGTGAGGGAGTTTCAAAAATTGATTTTTGATGGAAAAACTTAATATATCGAAGTGTACGCGTGTTGTGCTATTATATACAGTAATCAGACGTTAGTTTTTATCATGGTTATGGTATCTTGACACATAAAGAACCATTCTTAAAGGTTCTGAATAATCTTCCCATTCTACTTCATTTTGTCTAGCCTCTATCGAAACAATAATATATCTTGAATTGGTCTCCACTTTATAGACTTCCTTTGGAAAAAAAGTATTATTCATACTTAAATGGCTGATTATTGTTTTTAGTTAAAAATAATAATGATAATGGAAGGATTACATTATGCAGCGACTTTCACCTACTACTTGTAGCTGTTAGATGCTCATCATTCACTCACAATAGTATTGTATTGGTTTGGTTTTCAATAGTACGATCGACCATCTGCCTTCAGCATTGCTATGTTAGAAGATGTCTCTCAGAAAATAGGAAACCTCTCTTCTTTTATAATGTAACGTCGCATATCAATGACATCTTTACTCTTCTTTTCTCAGTAGTACTTTCATAATAGCTAAAAAAAAACATGAGACGGAATAAGAGGCAGAGAACCACATTACATAATGCTTTTTTTCGTTTTAAAAGAATGAGGAGAAGAATGATAACAAAAGAAAAAAGAAAAAAATGGACCGAAGAAGCATACATTTATTATCGATAGATATCGTTCCATTATGAAAGATAGTGTAAGGATGATTCTAAAGCTAGAAGATTGATCAATATGTGGATCATTATACTAAATTTAAAAAAGAGAATGTGTACCGAATAAATGGTTGAAAGAGACATTACTTATGCTGTTTTTTATGAATACTTCTTCCTTTCATATTCTTTTGGGCAAAGGTATTTAGATAATAAATTCTAAAAATAAAATCTTTCTCTTTTATACCAAATCTTATATATGACTTCTATACTGCCTGACCCTAGATGTGGAAGGTTTCATAACTTAGAGTTGAGACAGTGCTTCAACTTACAAAAAATTGCCATTCGAGGTACGTTAATCTTTTTAAAAACAATTTTGCCCACCTATGCTGTATACGAAGAAGAATAATTAAATCTTTGTGAGATTCACATCGAATTCTAGACGTTACGAATAAAGCTGATATCATACTTGCCTTTACTAAAGAGCGATATGTAGATATGGATGTACCGAGACTGAAGATACACTAACAAAGAAGGCAATTTTTCTCTAAGAGAAATCCTCAAGACTAGAAGATTTTTATTTATAGGTGCTCAGTTTGACTTAATTTATATGTGCATACAACTGGACAGTTCGGTTACAATAGTAAAAGGTTGAGTCTCGGCCAACCTTGGTCAAAATTTTGTTTTTTTCAACTGTTTGACCGAGACTGGCCAAGACTTGGCATTTTACTCTCATAATTAGTCTGTGCATTCGTATGTATATATAAATTAAGTCAAGTTGAGCAACTCTAGATAAAGATCTCCTAAAGTTCTGGAAGTTCTTAGAGAAAAGTTTCCATCTTTGTTAGGGAGTCTTCAGTCTCGGTATATCCCTACATCAGTCTAGCTGAAAAGCTAAAAAACACATCAATTTTGATCGGCTCTCGGACATTCCTGGACTTGGTCGGGCTGTTGGTTTGTGCAAAGTGTCAGATAGAACCGAGAGGAACATTTCTTAATGAAGCTTCCCTTAAGTCTCATAGGGTTTCCTCAGAGAAAAATGTTCATCCATGTAAAGAAAACTTGTGTCACTACGTCACATAACGAAACTCAACGATATCGAGACCGAAACACACCGAGATCGTGACAAGCCCAGACTGAGACCGAGACTGGCCGAGACCGAGACCGAGACAGACCGAGACCGAGACGGACCGAGACCGAGAC